ATGAGGAAATTATCCTGGATTATCTGGGTAGGCCCAAAGTAATTGCAAGAGCTTCAATAAAAGCAAGATAGGAGACTTGGTCAGAGAGAAGAGGTCTTTAGAAAGAAGCACAGGTCAGAGAGACATGAAGATGTTGAGCCACTGGCCTTAAAGATTGAAGGTGGCTTATGGAAGCTGGAAAATACAAGGAAATTACTTCTCCTCTCGAGCCTCCAGGACTAAGGGACGTCTGCCAATTCCTCGGTGTTAGCCAGTGAAACTGGTATCAGACATCTGGGTTCTGAGAGAAAATAAGTTTGTGGTGTTTTAAGCCACTAAATTTGTCGTAATCTGTGATAGCATCCAGAGAAAAGTAAGACAAACAAGATGGTGGATTTAATAGACAAACATGTTAAATCAGCAATGTAAGTATATCTAAAGAGTTAAAGAAAACATGATTAACATAGTGAATGACAGAATTTCAGAAGAGAAGTGAAATTAAGTGGAAAACTAAAATAACTGAAATAAGAACTCTTCAGGGAAGCCGTATTGATTCTTTCATACATAATTTCTATCATTTAATCAAAAATTAGTAGACATGCAAAGAGACAGGATCATGTGACCAGCAAACATGAAGAAAATTTCAGGCAATAGAAGCAGACCCAAAGATAACCCAGATATTGACGTGGAAAGATAAGGACTGTAAAATAAGTATGGTTATTCAATTCTCAAAACTGTGGAGATAGACAAAAATAGATCAAAAGACAATGAAATTCCCTGAAATGGTAGAATTGATGAAGAGAACCCAATGTACATTCTATAAATGATAAAAATATAATACCTGGCATTAGGAATAAAATGGATGGGTTTCATAGCAAATTACATATCAGGACTAATGAAAAATAGCCCCAGATCAGCAGAAAACATTGAGACACAAGTGCTGAAAGGAAAAGAAAATTTTAAAAAACAGATCATGGCATATTATAGTTTAGTTTTTTCCTGCAGCTTGAGAGCGGAAAGGGCCCCCAACCCTTCAGGCCTCTTTCCACTGCTGGCCTTGCATTGTTTGCTATCACCTGGGCTCCTTGTATACTGCCAGGTAGATTATACTGAATGGTGCTGCTGAGTGGAATTTAAGAATAAACTTAGAACAGGAAGTGAAGTTTAGCCTCAAGTGCTCCGTGGCTGTGTAGTTACTAACATCTCCCACCACCCTTTCGCAGAGCCTTCTGGGGGACACCAAACGACCTGCCCTGGTCCAGGGGCACAGGCCCGGGGGCGCACAGCAGCATCAGGCAAGCTCTGCTGGTGGCCTCCTTCCCCCGGGCGCAGCTCCAATCCCACGGGTCGCACGTAAGCTTGACTGTTAATCCCGAAGAGTTCAAGAACAAAAATTTGGCCTCTATCGAAGGGCAATTCTGTCAACCTTTATGCCCTCCTGGAGGAAGCAGTGGAGAGGCCGCTCCCAGGTCTTTGCCATCCCTCTCCTGTGCCCTCTGGAAGGAGGAGGCGCACCACCGGATCCGTGGGAGCCACGTTCCGAGTGGAAGGGGGAAAGGTGGTTGACGAGTCAGACGTCTGCACAGAAAAGCCATGACTCACAAAAGCAGAAGAGTGTCAGAATGTCCATGTCACCACTGGGAGAGCCCTAGTGAGCTGAGACAACAGTAAGCTTGACGGACAAACTAGGAAAGCAAAGGAGGTTGGAGAAAGTCCGGGTCGAAAGGTCAGGGTGATACATCCTGAAACCCCTGTTCAACCACCAAATGGAGGGTAGTCAGACACTACATACCTCATTGGGTGGGTCAGTGGTTCTGAAAAATAAAAGAGAAGAAGAGGATGGAGGGAGGAAGAGAAAGAGAGAGGAGAGAGGGAGGGAGGGAAGGAAGGAAGGAAGGAAGGAAGGAAGGAAGGAAGGAAGGAAGGAAGGAAGGAAGGAAGGAGGAAGAAGAGGGAGGGAGGAAGGGAGGAGGAGAGGAAGGAATCTGCATCTAGGCTAACCTCTAGCTCTTAATTCTCCACTTGATTTCTCCACTAAATAAATGGCAAAAGTAAAGGGAGGCAGAACTCTTAATAGATTAGAAGCAATTTAATAGAGATATCAACCCAAAGGAATGTATAGACCTTATCTAGGTCTTGATTTGAAAAAAAAAACTGTAAAAAGACACTTTTGAGGTAACCAGGGGACTAGAAATATAGATTAAATATTAAATAATATTAAGAATTTATTTTGTTTTGGTTTTGCGTGCTTTGAAAGAGATCAATGCTAAAGCATTTATAGGTGAAAACACTATGTTTTCTAAGATTTGGTTTTAAATATTTTAAAGGGGAAAAGATGGGAAGGATAGATGAAACCACAAAGGTGGGGTGTTGATTATTGGTGAAACTGAGGCACAAGCATGTGAGGTCGTTTTGCTACTTTCTCTCATTTTGTGACACTTTGAAAATTTCCATGATATTAAGTTAAGAACACAGCGAAGGGGTGGCTGAGTCTCTGAAGTTCAGAACGTGTTTGCCTGGATTCCCTGCACTCAGCTACAGAGGGCTTGCACTCGAGCTTCAGTCCTTCTGCAGAGAGCAGACAAAGCAGGCGGCTTCCTCTCTGGCAGACAGTCAGAGCTCTGCTTTTTGTTCTTATACTTCGTCTACCTACATCTGGGTACGTGAGGCAAGGTCATGTGGGTCTCATTCTAGCCTTAGAAGTATCATCAATCTCTTTTTTGGCCTGCGTTCCAAACTGCATCTTCCAGCACAATTAGCCCTGAACTCTCTACTTTGAAAAAATACTGCCCTGGCTGGTATGGCTGTGTTGACTGCTGGCCTGTGAACCAAAGGGTCACTGGTTCAATTCCCAGTCAGGGCACATGCCTGGGTTGGGGGCCAGGTCCCCAGCAGGGGGCGCGCAAGATATAACCACACATTGATGTTTCTCTCCCTCTCTTTCTCCCTCTCTTCCCCTCTCTAAAAGTAAATAAATAAAATCTTTAAAAAAAAAAAAAAAGGAAAAGGAAACTTACCTTTGAATCCCATTTAGCTTGGATGTTTGTGATTATATTCTATCAGCAGAACCCTGAAGGGCGCACAGTCCTCTGCACCTGTCCCATAGCTGCAGGGAACAAGCCAGATAAGAAAACATGACAGGACAGCTGAATGGAGGGAGGGTATTTTGAGGATAAGGGAAAATTATACACGTTCACACGCTCAGGTCAGGTATCCAGGGTAATAGAAACGGTAAAATGTCAAGAAAGTGAATTCGAGTGTCAGAGGAGAGCCCTAAGCAAGTAGAATGGGGGCCAAAGACAAAGTGGGAGAGTTAGTATCAGAAAGAGAGACGATTTATTGTTTTTGTGAATTGTTAGGAAGAAAAGAAAGGATAAAAGAAGCTACAGAGACAAGTTGAGACAGACATGAAGGAGGCTGAAATGATGTTTCTTAGGTGGGAGAAATCTTTGGAATAAGAAGAGAGAGAGTGAGAAGAAGGGGTCGTACCCTGGGCTAGAACAGTGGCAGCGGCCGTGTAAAGGTTTGCATGACAACGCTTTGGTGATGGCCCAGGAGCTGGGCTGGGTCATAGGGAGAGGGGAGAGGAGAGCTACCCAGTTTTCAGGTCCAAACGGACCCTTGAATGCTGCTCCGCGTGCAGCCCCGAGGAGGGGCACATCAGGCCCATGGGAGGGCCCGGGAGAAGAGGAAATGCCTCAGAAGGCGATGGGTAGAGAGAACATCATCATCAGAGAAGCTCCTGTATAGAACCATTGTCTGTCCTCTCTCTTGCCCGGCACGCTTGGCCGAGGTTCCTGAAGAATGCCCTTCATCAGGCCTAAGTCAGGTGTGATTGTCCTGGAAGAACCTGAAAGGCAAAGAGTTCCTATGATAACCTTTCTTCTGCTCAACTCATCTACTCCAGCTGTATTTTATAACTGGTTCTTAGAATTGTTTTTGTTCTTGAAACATGGAGAACATAAGCTTCATGTAAATATAACTGTGGCAAAGCCGCATTTTCACAGAAAAATATTACCAGCTCATTCGGTGATTTTAAAATTAGTTTATTAATTATACAATGCATTTGCTAGGGTTTTAAATGTTCACACTAGGCATTTTCTCAGATATTTACACTTAGTGATAATTAAGCACATGCACAATTCAAAAATAGCTTTCCCTATTGTAATAGAAGTCATATTTTCATGATAGTCACACAAGAGAAAGGTATGTAAGAGAATCAGTGTTTCCTGGAATATTTTCCCACAGAGAGAAATCAAATATATGTTAGATTTTATTTAATATCCAATATATACATGATATTTACAAGTACTTCTATTCCCCAAAACTGCCCCCTCCTTCCCCAGGACCTGTTCATAATAACTAATACAACTTGATAACTTTTATAACTTCAGTAACAACTTGGAGAATGATCTACAACACTAAAGGTATAATCCCCCAAATGTCTTGCAGGTATTCGTTTTCGTTCTTTGCATTGACACCTTTGAATTACCTCACGCGCACGGTCCGGACTTGTTTTAGTCTACGAACCTGGCTAAAGCCTAGTGAGAGATACAGTTTGATACACTCAAAGCAAAGTTTGAGGGAAAAAAAGGCTTAAAAACACAAAATGTAAAAAGAAAATATTGAAAAAGATACAAATAATGCCTCCAATAGTCTGGGGCTTCCATACAAACAGGCCCCAGCAGGAAGGAGTATGAAACTAGGAGTGAAAAATCGGCTTTCTCCTATCTTGGCGCTCACTCGCGGAGAGACCTTCGGCTCGTGTGCTCGGACATGGCCTGCAGCCCCATTAATTCCCATTTCACATTGTAATCCTTCACTAATATGCATGTGTCCCATTCCTACATCTCCCCAAGGGAGGATCTCAATAAACAGAGTGCACAGGACTGCTGGCGATTCTGCCCTGGCTTTGACACAAAATGCCTAAATACACAGTATTTCCTGAGAGTTCCATTGAGGGAGACAGTCTGAACTTCTCAGATATCACAGGCCAAGTATCAGCAAGCCTTTCCCTTTGGTCAAGGGCTGTTGGAGTAACTGATTTTCTTCGCTTGCTCCAGGTCCCTGTTTGCTTTGCATCGCACCATTGAGCCGATGGCCTGCTGGAAGTTGTCGTTGACCACCACGTACAGGAACAGGTTGCCAAAGGTGTTCAGGGCGGCCAGCGGTCTTGAAACGATGTAAGCTTTGTGGATCTGATTCTCCACGGAGCAGCTGATAGAAAGCAGGCGCGATTCAATGCGGACAACCCTCAAGACATGGAAGGGTAGAAAACAGACATAAAACACAATGAGCAGCAGAATGGTCAGCCGCCGGGCTTTCTGCTTCAGGCTGCTCTGAGCCTGAGGCCCTCGAGTCAGGATGGAGAGAATCATTGTATAGCAAAGTGTCACGATCACCAGGGGAAGGAAGAAAATAGTTGCAGTCAAAATGAGGTTGTACCATTTGATGGTAGTGAGGTCATCCGAGCTGGTGAGGTCAAGGCAGGCAGAGCTATTGGTCCTGGTGGTTAATGTGATCAGGAAGGTCATGGGAATGACAGCCACCAGAGAAATGACCCATACGGCAGCACAGGCCACCGTGGCCCATCGAGGCTTGTGCAGGCAAAAGCAGCTCATTGGGTGACTGATCACAAAGTAACGGAAGACACTGAAGCAGGTGAGGAAGAGGATGCTGCTGTACAGGTTGAAATGGAAACCGAAGCGGATGAACTTGCACATGAACTTGCCAAAGATCCAGTTTTCACCGCTGGCGTAGTAGTGAATCAGGAATGGGAGGCTGGTGAGGTAGAGCAGGTCCGTGCAGGCCAAGTTCAGCATAATGACTGTGCTGCTCTTCCAGGGGCGCATTTTGAAAATGTAAGTGGAAATCGCCACTGCGTTCCCTGGGAAGCCCACCAGGAAGATGATGCTGTAAATAGCAGGGAGGTAGTGCCTCTGGAAGGGGATTTTTTCATCAGTGCAATTTCCAAAGGCAGCTGCATAATCGGGGAAATCAGACCCATTTGCAAAATTGTCTAGTGGCTCATTCATGGTTGTCTCCTTTCATCTTGCGAGAAATCCGGAGAGCTCGGTGTGGCAATGTGAATTGACTGAGAAGGAACTCGCTGATAAAAGAAAATAGAAAACATTAACTATAGGATAAGGAAAACAATGATCCACTTTTAAAGGAAAATTGCCACTTTTTTTCTCTTTCATCTCCAAACAGATCCTACTGGAGAAGAGATTGAATTTCTAAGAAATTGGCTGTGAGGCGAGTTACTAAAGACATCTAATAATAATACAAAAGTTAAATTGCCATGGGAGTTAACACGAAGGAGTGGGAAAAACAAACCCTGAGCGGAGCTGTGGGAAACAATTTGACAAGGTTGCTCTTTGGGCAAGCCATAGAGGGTAGTGCCACAAGAGACTGAACAAGACCCACCACGAATCAAGCACAGGGCACTTGACCTCTTTACTTGAGAAGACACTAAGAAGTATTTCTCATTATCTCCCTTTCCCTGAAGACTAAGGCTGAGGGAGGCTACACAACCAGTCCCTGGTAACACCTCCAGGAGCATAGCTGGGACCCCAACCCGCGCTTGTCCGAGTTACAAGCTGTGGTCCTCCTACCTTACCTCACTGTGCTCCCTCTTCATCTGGGTTAGCCAAACAGAAAACAAACAAACAAACAAACAAACAAAAACAACTAATGAAACAGTAAGTGAAAAGACACAAAGACTGAACACTATAAATTTTTTAAATGTAGATTTCATGCACCATTATATGTAGGGTAGACCTCATTTCCAATTTCAGCTCCTCCAATTTGTTTGTGCGGGGGGAGGGGCAGCAGTATCACGCAGACTGAAGTGCTTGGGCTCTATCCCCAGGTGGCCTGACCTGGATTCCCAGTGTGGCTACTGAGTGGTCGTGTGTCCCTAAGCAAGTTGTTTAGCTTCTCCAGGGCTGAGAGGAGTGGGATTTGAATTTCCTTCTTCTTGCTGATCATCTCTTTCTAAAATATGGAGAGGGAATTCCTGCAAGGAGGAAAGCGTGAAGACTGGACAAAAGAAGAATTACTTACAATTAGCTTATTATTTGTCTGGAAATAGCTGCTGGTAAAAATGCATCCACTGACACATCTCCGGAGTGCCCAGTGTGCATTAACTGGGCCCTCTGCCAGGCCCTAGAGATGCAAAATGAACAACGCACACAGATGGACAAGCCACTGTCACAGTCTAGCGGGGCGTGGGGGCTGGACATGGAAATAATCGTAACACGATATAACCCTACCTCATGGGACCGTCGATATATAAAAACAAGAAAAATACTTGAGACACTACCAGCACATAGTAAGTACTCAATGAATGTTACGTAGCTGTTAATCACTAAGTCCTTTGATAGATGAATGGTACAAGGCTACTGAGATCACAAAGAAGGGAGAGAACAAACTACCCGGAGAAAAACAGAGGGCATGAAAGGAAGTTCCCCTAGGAGGGGACATGTAAGCTGGCAAGGAAATTGGATGTGTGAAGGCACTGAAATATGAAAGTTGAGGAGACCCAGTGGAGTTTTAGCAGCTCCGTATGGCTGCCTACTAGGGGCGCTGGAAGATGAAGCTGGAAAGAAAAAAATAGCTAATAATAAAAAGAAGAGTGCATCCATGTGCAAAGCACCCTCTAAGTGTCTTAATATGTAAATTCATTTAATCCTCAGAGAAACCTGGTGAGATAGTGCCCTGATCATCCCCATCTTACAGATGGGAAAACTGAGGCTCAGAGAAGGCAATGACTTGATCAAGGTCACACTGCTAGTTCGTAGTGAGCCAAGATGGAGGGCGGGGCCACCTGTCTGCAGCGCTGGACTGCCTCTCGCAGTGAGTAGGCACAAGGGAAGGGAGCACTCTACAAGAGCAAAGGTGAATTAGACCTTATTCCAGAAGAGCTCAGTGAATCAAACCTTTAAATTGTACAATCCTGGGCTAAAATGTCAATAAGAGTGGTACGTACCTCCATGGGTAGAGAGAAGACTAAAATGAGTCAATATACATAAAGTGTTTTGAAGGGTGCCTGGCATATCGCAAGTGCTGTATGGGTGCCTGCCATCGTTGCTACTATTACCTGGTACTATCATCTACATTATCAAGCTTTTCCTCTGCGTTGTCCAGAGGTGTGTTATCAGACTGGCCCAACTTAACGCCCCTAGAATTAGTAGACTCCTTCACTGTGGCTTGGTTTTGAATATCCTCTTCCAGCTCTCACGTAGGGTGCAGCTCAGAAAGCATGCCAACTTGTATTATTTCTATTCTGAATGAACTGGGAAAAACAATAGCCCAGGGATGTGTGACTTGCCGCTGGGCCGCTGCGAGGGTTCTCTCAAGAGGGGCCAGTGCTCCCTAGCAGCGGGGGTCACGCTCCGAAAGTGAATGTTTCTCTTCTGGTGAAGTTCGCAGACTTAGACCAGCAATGCTATTCATGGAACTAGCACCTGCACAGCAATGAAATGACAGGAGCCAGGTGCTGCTGGCCAGCCTGGGGGCTGTGAGGCCAGGGAACTGCAGTGAATAGCTTTCCCCTGGGCCAACGCCAAGGGAAACCGGCTCCTGCCCGGACTGAAGACAGTAATTTAAACCCAGCGAAAGTGGTTGCTGTCAGAGAGACCTCCAAGCAGCCCTCCTGAAGTCAGCCCTTAGCAAATCAAGACTCAAGTGCACAGTGCTTCTCTGTCAATGCCTTGAAAGCAGAAACATGAAGTCACCGCGTACCCAGAGGCCATCACACAGAAGGTGCTCAGTAAATAGTTGCTGAATACGTAAGAGAACAATGAGTAGCATTAACAAAAGTATCTTGTGCTGAAGGGCTAGTGAAGCAGCAACTATTATTCAAAAAAAAAAAAAAAAGTTTGGGTCTTTAATGACTTTTAAAGTAAGGAGCAAAATTAATTTCTGCCGCTGCCAAATAAACCCCTGCCATGTTGTGGGGCCTTTTTAAACGATAATCCTATCAGGAAAAGGCAGGTTGTAGGTAGAAACAACCACTTTGTTATTTGAGAAACAGCAGTTCAGCTTGGGATTTCATAAAACTGACTGACCAATTTTCAGGGAGGAGGGGCTAAGAAATTTAACCCCTGTCCCATAAATCTCACCCGAAGAATGGTTCAAGTTTACAAAATATGTGTGAGGTTAAGAACAGCAGACAAAAACTGTTCTGGGCAGCGAGCCAAGCAGAATGAGGCAGTTTCTTTCCTCGACAGCCCCAGGCCTTGTGCAAGTCACTGCTACCACCCAGAGACCAGATGTCCACAAAGGCATCATTTACATACAAAGGACATTAAAGGGTAATGTGGCGTAATCCTTATTCTGTTACAACGGTGGGTCTCCGACCACCCGAACTGAAGGACTCTTTCTAAACTACAAATAACGATCTGTTATGCCTCAGCATCACCAGACAGACAATTCTGAACTAAACAAGATGTCACACAAAAGCAAGCACCGAAGAGCCGGGGACATTTGATAAATGAAGAAAAGTTTGATTATTTTACCCTCAATGTTTTACTCTGAAATTGGGAAGAGACTGTGATCGTTTGGGGCTCCCCGCAGGACACTCGTGTCTGGGGAAAACACAGCCTGAGGGTGCAGATCCTACCACGAGCTTGCCTGGGAACCTCACCCAGGGATGCCAAGCTTCTGTGGATGCAGAGAGCGGGGCCAGACAAGCTGCTCACTCTCAAAGCGGCAGCAGCGCTGACTGCCTTATATCTATACAGCATTGCTGCCCATTTGGTGGGAAGTAAAGTGGGATTAATGATGAAATGTGATTTTCCGAGGATATATGTTAATTTTGTAGTCAAGGCCTTCTCTGACAATGCCCTCCCCCCCAACCAGAGTTCCCCTGCCCCTGCCCCCAATACACACCAGGCATTCCTGGTGCCCTCCAAGGCTATGGACACCCATTCTCTCCTCCTCCTCCCAAGCTGCCGGTGGACCAGGGGCCTGGGAGCTTGGACACGCCACCTCTCAGGTCCCATTTGGGCACCACGAAGAAACAGGGATAGGCCTTTCTCTCGTTCACCAAAATTCATCTTGGTTTCCTCATCTACATGTTTGTAAACTAATTTGATTTCCTACTAGCAGAAAACAGACCAGTTCTTAAGCCAGACAAATTGGTGAGGGTGGGTGCATGTTGCCCTCCTTGAACCCTGGCAGAATCCACCCCCCTCTCTACTCCTCCCTGAATCCCAGCTTTCAAAGAAGGATCTGCATCCCAGGCCCCCCAAGAAGGAAGACGGCACTAGGACTTGCCAGGTTGATGGGGATCCAAGATACGATTTTAGCTATTTGATCTTGGGGAGAATCAAAATCTCTGGAAGCTCTCTTCAAAAGTGTAGGCAGAGACACAAAAGTGTTACATGCACTTTGGAGGTTTAGAGCCAATCCTAACCTAGTTCGCTTAATCTGTAGAAAGGAAACAAGACAAGACAAAAGAAAGGCATTTCAGAGTTAAAGGCGTTCTCTGTTTGCTTGTTGCGGGGTGTGGGTCAGGGTGGGTGTTGTGGGCCAGTGTCTCTGGGCTTTGCTCACTATAAAACCCAGAACCATGCAGTGTGATCAGAGAACGCATCCGCAAGGCAGAAGCAATCGGGGTGACGGATGAACTCTCTATTTGGCCCCAAAGGCGCCCCAAAGGCCCCCCAAAGACCCCACGCTCCGTCATGAAAAAGACAAGAGATGAGATGATGTCTGGGACTTCTCCAGGTCCCGATGAGACAAATTTCCCGCCACCCTAGGCCTTTCTTTTCCCCCACATGTGCCCTGGCCCCCTGCCAGGATGTGCAGTGCTCCTGCCATCTCCAGGAGAAGTTGGGGACCCCTGCTCTGGTCGTCCCTTGCCCTGCAGCGGGGACGTGCCCGGGGTCTCTGCTCCCCCCGGGCTCGGGCGCCCGCGTCCTTACGCCCACATCAGCGCAGGCCCCCCGCACCCAGCTCCCTCCGGCCCGCGGGGTCTCGCTCCCGCATTGCGGCTCACCTGGCACCCTGGGCACCGCCGCCGTGCGCC